CAAATGTCCCCCCTCGTTGAGGAGTACCCATTGTTCGGTAAGCACTGATTTGTACAACGGCTAGCCCCTGCATACGATTGTTTAGACCACAGAGCACATCATGTTGGGATTCACCCAACAGGGAGAGTCGTATTTGGTCGCTGATGAGAGGGAGCTGTACTTAACATTAGTTCTGAGGAAAATTTTTTTATAGTTGGTTTTTCTTGTTTCATGGACGCTATGAGGGGAGAGGAGTTCCTGTTGGAAGAGGAGGATCGTATTCCGCTCCTGAGCAAAAATGGGTGGGCGTCTTGCGGAAAACTTTTCCAGGTCTTTGCAGTTTTTCCCGTCTAATATATGATCTATAACCCCCCCCCCAACAATTCGATAGCAAAATTTTGGGGAGAAGGTGGAAAATTTTCAGGGAAATAATTGCAAAAACTGGTAGGAAGCTGAGAAAATCTGAGAATCTTCGAATCTTCTGAGGGAAAAACCCAAGGTGCTATATGTATACTTCCAACCCGCTCAATACCTCGACCCTATCGGAGGAGGGAACCGTGGGGGGAGGGTGGTCGCAGCAAGCCACTCTTGGGGCGGGAGCTCGAAGGTCGACCAAAATAGCCAACTAATGATGCGCCCCATGGACTAGGCCAAATTCGAAGAGCCACTACGATTCCGAATGAAAGTAGAATGCGTGCCGAACCCAAAATCAGACTGGTCGACGGTTAAAACCTTAGTTTTTTTTATTACGTGCAAAGATAAATTTACTACTCTTAAGTTCTGTAATAACAGTTCTTATAACATTCCGTGATAGTAAGCCTACGACTTTCCGTAGCGTGATCCTTATCTTATCACCTCCGGAATGACGCCTCGTGCCGCTTTATGTCACATTCTACGCTTCGTTCACGCTCATCCAGACTTCCAATGATGTCACTCACATATCAGCCTTTCACTGCTCAGTCCATTTTTTTATATTGGTCCTATGCACTAGCAATGAATTTTCTCTTTTTTCAAATTAATGGGGAAGAACCTTGAAATGACTTCATGTGTCTCTTTTTTTGTGATAGACATCTGCCACTGGTTCTGAAGCCGTTGGAAGTCATGATATTGCCTAAGTTATATGCACTCTTCCAGCGCCACCCTTACTGCTCTCAAAGGGCGCTCCTATTGTAGCACCCTTTCTTCGGAGGGAATCATGTCCAGCGGTGGAATTAGCCTCCTGTAGTTGCTTAGCACCTCCCGATGTATTACATGTTGCCGACGCTTACCATTTTGGGTTCAAAAGCCGCCTAACACATTTCGCGATTACTTACAACGACCGAAGTATGGATAGTATGGATGGCAGTGGACAACCTTCTTTAAAACGAGTGACACGATGAATTCCGCAAGGTGTGTGGGATTGATACGCCCAGCAGGAATGAATTCGGCGCGCCGCGCCTGAGCAGGCGCTGTGTGGCGCTTCCTCCAAGGAAGCTACCCTTACAGCGCCCTATCAAGCTGCAACATACCGACCCGGACACCCACCGCGCCCGCCCGTCCACAAATGTCCGACCGAACGAAGTGTGGCATGCCTACAGATGCAGCAACTTTACGACCTTTATCACTTACAAGCTTTCACATATGCATAAGGAACCTTCCAGTGGTAACTCACGTAACATCGACTTCTTGCGATGGCTGAGGCTTGCAGTAGAACGTGCTTACAAGGGAATGGTTTGAACTTCCCATGGAACTTTGAATGGAGACCTAGGTACATCGATAGAGCCTCGAATGCTGATTACGAATATGCAGATTAAAAGTGCTACGGGGACCTCCCAGACGAGTTCTGGGCGGTCAAAGTTTGCGAAAACTCGGTTTTGTCTCGTAAGCGCTGCTGATCGGTCATTGGGCAGTGCCACCGTGGCCTAGTGGTAATGGTCTCGCTTCAAAGCCAATGCTCGTGGGTTTGCATCCCGTTGGCGCGAAAGTTTTTGCTTCGTCTCCTATAAGAGCTTTCACTCTAATTTTCGAAATTCTTCCGAATTTACGGCCCAGCAGGGCAAGTAGATCAAGTACATCAAGTATATGACGCAGTCGATCGAGTATTGATTGATCACTATCTGTCCTCTCTGAACTCATTACCCATCCGACAATTCGAAGTTTTGGCCAGAAACTCGTTCCTGGGGGTATTTTGACCCCCTGAAAACGAATATCATATCCGTTTGGCGAGAAAACGCTTGTAGCCTTTCACGTTGTTGTGGTCATCAACTGAACGAGGGAACCGATCGTTTTCGCGTCAAACGGATGTGATATCCGTGCTCAGGGGGTCAAAATACCCCCGAAATGAGTTTCTGGCCAAATTGTGATTCTGGCCAAAACTTCGCATTGTCGGATGGATGAGTTCAGAGAGGAAGATATCAATCAATACTCGATCGACTGTCATATACTTGATCTACTTGATCTGCTTGCTCTGCTGGGCCGTAAACTCGGAGGAATTTTGAAAATTAGAGTGAAAGCTCTTTATAGGAGACGAAGCAAAAGTTTCGCCGCAACGGGTCTGAACGCACGCACGAGCATTTGACTTTGAAGGTCGAGGACTATTTACCACTACGCCACGGTGGCACTGCTCAGGGACCGATCAGCAGCGCTTACGAGACAAAACCGAGTTTTCGCAAGCTTTGACAGCCCAGAAGTCGTCTGGGATGTAGCCGTAGCACTTTTAATCTGCATATTCGTAATCAGCATTCAGACTCTTTGATGTACCTAGTGCCCCTCATCAAGTTCCATGGGAAAGTTCTAAATCCATTCCTTCAGAGTGGTGTCCATAAGATTCTTGATAAGGGTGTGCGCTTTGCGGATCCTCAGCGTGGGCCGCTGGTTATGCGTAGAAATTATTTTAACGCTCCTCTGTGGCTCTTTCAATGCTCCGTTAAAGACCATCAGCGCTCACTTTGTCAGATATAAAGCGCAGAGGTTTAAGAGACTTAAACCAGGCATTGAAAGGGACGAGGCACATTTCCTACCGAAAAGCTTTAATGCAACAGCTTTTCCATGCAATGAATCTACTGCGAGCCTTGAACCATGCGCAAAGAAATTGATGCTAAATTTGTCCCAGCTTGGGTTTTAGGCTGTTCTAAAGGCACCGGTCCGCGATCAAGGTGTGAAGTTGAAAATATGACGTCGAGAGGTTAGTGTGGCTTACGACGTAACAACCTTGTATTCCTCCGGCCCGTTTCGCGGCACAAAAATCCTGTAAGGTATGGACGCTGTAACGCAAGATAGGCGCAGAAGACCTCCCCTCCAACTTCGAGCCCTCCAACGCTCGCCTCTCAATGAAAGACGGCTGCAGACGAAAAGCAGATAATCGTTAACGACGTCGATACGACAAACACTGCAACCGATAGGCGTGTGAGCGGCGCGAACCGGACGTGCAGCACAGTTCGATTCCAAGCACTGAGGCCATCCTGAGCTCCTGCTACAGTTGGTGAAACCTGCTCTGGCTGCGCTACAAGCCACGCCGCATCCTAAGCCCTATCCTTTGTACAGATCATGACTGTACGCTTGTGTCTGTGAGAATTTCAGAGACATTCTTCATCTTCGAGCCAGACCTTAAAAAGTAATCCGTGACTCCAGCCACCTTCTCTTCCCTCCCTAAACCTGGAGTGCGTAAGAATACCGGTAACCAAAGGACGAGGGGAGGGGGTAGAAGCGTCGGGTGCTCCACCACTCAATGCGTTAATAGAGCGTTGGATAAGCCACAAATGCAAATGAATCAGTGGGCACAAACAAACACTTCTGTATCTCTCTCGCACATTTAATCAACAAAGTTCATTTCGTATTTCTCATTTTATAAATTCCAGCACACAATTTGACTAGTGGGGATCCGGTGTTCGTCCCGTATACTCTAGGACAGCTCAGAAGCGGTGACGGTAAGTCGTGAAGCATTATTCCGCTTGAATTCAGGCATAGCGTCTTGTTCTGACTAACCATGAGGGAAACCGTTAATGTAAGCAATATCTAGTGATTTTGGCGCAAATGTAAGGCTGCGTTCATACTTTGCGGCAGCGCCCACCAGCGACCATCGTGTCCATCGTGACCATCAGCGTTCGGTTTCGTTAGCGTGTTTGAGCGTCCGTCAGCGTCAGTGACTAGGGAAGTGTGGATATCCATCTAGCGTCTACCAGCGTCTACCAGGGTCCGCCAGCGTCTGCCAGCGGCCATCAGGTATCGAGGGACTAGGGAAGCATGGATATCGATCTAGCGTTTACCAGCGTCCAGCAGTGACCACCAGCGACCAAGATTACGGTGTCGTGTAATAGTACGGTGCGGCTGCACACGCCACAATTACACGGCGCCTGATCCAGCTGTCCTCCCTCCTACTTTCCTATACTCTACCGGCAGTCTGCCGCCCTCCTACTTCCCAATACTCTCTGCTCCTGGTCGGGTAGACACTGGCAGAGTATGGGAAGTAGGAGGGAGGACAGCTGGATCAGGCGCCGTGAAATTGTGGCGTGTGCAGCCGCACCGTACTATTACACGATACCGTAATCCTGGTCGCTGGTGGTCACTGTGGACGCTGGTAGACGCTAGATCGATATCCATGCTTCCCTAGTCCCTCGATACCTGATGGTCGCTGGCAGACGCTGCCGTTCGTTCGCTAGATCGATACTTTCCTAGCCGCTGACGCTGACCGACGCTCAAAAGCTGATGGTGTGGTCGCTGGTGCACTGCCGCAAAGTATGAGCGCAGCCATTGAGAAGGGCCATGCAACGGTGCGACTGTTTCACGTCTCTGCCTTCCTGCGCCCTTTCATCGAATAGGACAGTGACCTAGGTACTCAGTAAAAAGTTTTAAAAAGACGTCAGAATAAAGGCATGACATGCTGCGCCTCGGACTTTCTTTGCCCCCCACCCGCCACACCCTCTCACCAAGCGAACGTGATTCAGCACTTAGATAACTAAAAATTGATATAGATAACCCTACATCTACCTATTCAGTACCACTGGACCGACCCATTACATATATTTACGGAAGGCGTATTCGATATGTTTCACTATGGTCATGTCCGGCAACTACGGCAAGTAAAAGAATCGTTCCCCGACGTCTTCGTGACCGCTGGAAGTGAGTTGAACTGCTTTTGATATGAAAATGTGGCCGATATCTATCAAACACATGCAACAATTACAGTATGCAGCGATGAACTGGTGCGTAAGTATAAAGGTGGTCCGTTAGTGATGACATACGAGGAACGCTTCGCCTCTGTGGCAGAATGCAAAT